TTGCTCTTATCTGGTTTATATGCGATTTTTATGCGAAATATCTGATTAGATTGCTCCATACGCTGGAATTCATCACCAAAACTCGTCCTACTGAATTGTCATCATAAATTAATTTGACATGCTCCGAAAGAACAAATGTAGTAAAACGACAAGAAGGTTTTTCGTTTGACTGATTGCTTCGAGCAAAAATAACAAAAAAGTATCTCACACTTTCGCTGTTTACCAGTTTGGCCAAATAACATTGAATATCGATGAAACAGGTATTTGCCATCAATGACGGGATTGCCGTGATTGAAAATGATGGAAAACGGTTTTTATTCGTTAGTTATTTGCACTTTTTCGAATGAGCGTAATAATTCATCAGCACAATTCTGCGAGCATTGAGAAACATCCCATAAAAAGTTCGATCATGAACGGAGATGATGATGATGATTATGAAAGCAAAATGTTTCATTCTTTCGTTAGCAAACATACTCACAGTCACTGCAGTCAGTTCGTTCGCCAGATGACGAAAATGCGTGTTTGTGTGATCGGTGCTGGTGAGAGTGGTTTGCCAGCAATCAAAGAGTGTCTTGACGCTGGATTCGATGTTGTCGCCTACGAACGAACCTCTGATATCGGCGGACGATGGAACCATAGACCCAACTTCAAGGTTGTTCGTTCGTACAAAGCACTCGGCTTCATTCTAAAACCATTGAAATTCACTGACTCATAACATGCATCAAATTTTTAGAAATTTTATGCAAGTCCTGAGAGAAAAAACGATTTTCAGAATCTGGTTATGTTCTATGGGGAAAATTTAAGTTCGTTAATGCACCGAGGACAGCACGTTTCAGTGAGTTGCAAAAAAATGCAAACTGATGCGATACATTGCTGAAAATATTTTCACTGAGATGACATTTCAGGAAGGTGGCAATGTAGCAAAATCAACGTTTAGCAACATATCAAAGGAGATGATGGCGTATTCGATCTTTACGCCTTCTGAAAATTGCCCTAATTTCATGCACAATTCCGTCTTTTGTCAATACTTGAAAGATTATGCCGAAAATTTTGATCTTCTCAAAGATATTCGTCTCAATACATCAGTTGAGAAGGTTATATTGCATCGTTGTTGTTCCATACCGTTTTTAATGATCATTAGAAGCAATACGATCTCCTGTCTGAAGTTTCTTCGCCGTACCCTCGCCAGGTTCTATCGTATCCATCGATCAGAAGGTTGCATATTATCGGTGACATCTGTATTTCTGAACAGTTAGAATCCAGAGATGCAACGAAAAGCTTTAGGTGCAACGAGCTGATAATAAGTGGGAAGTAACGACGAACGATGGCAAAAAAGAGACGTTTGAATTTGTTTTGATTTGCACAGGACGATATTCGATTCCAAAACTACCTGAAATAAAGGGTGAGCATTTCGTTGAATTTACTTAAAGGTTCATCATGCAGCAATTGAAAGTAACCTATTTCTTGTGATTAGAGATTACTCCGACAAAATTGGTGACAGATCCATCAAGAAATGCATGTTCTTCAGTAAACTTCCTTAGCCGGAGAATGGATTTCATTTTCATCACGATTTTCCAGCCCATTGCTAGATCAATTTTCGTCTGTTCCAAGAGAATGTTTAATGAGATTTTGCCACCTTTTTTTCAGTTCAGTAGAACTTATGCATCGAATCATCTTGCAGGCATGGAAGGATTCCAGGGTCGAGTGCTACATTCACGCGATTTTATTGATGCGGAAGCATTTCGAAATAAGAACATTTTTATTGTTGGCATCGGAAATTCGGCTCTAGAAATTGCTGTTGAAGCAGCTGCGGTTGCGAAATCGGTGCAAATTTTGTTCCTCTCAATTCTTTTGCTGTTTTGTCACCATGCAATTGCAGAAGTGAGATTTCCAGAGCTTAGTGCAGGAAGGTAGTATGATATGAAATGTTGAAATTCGAATCAATCGCTGAATACTCCCCTCTTTGAAACGTTTCAATCGTTCTTTTGCAATTCGTCAACATTCAGCCAACCCCAACTGTCTATATTTCAAAACCAACTGTCTATTTTTGAAGTACTTGCTGTTAGTTTGGAAAGGTAGAGAGATTCTAGCATCATGCCGTCCAAATCTGTTGGGAGTGATCCTTGAGCTGATGAAACTCTCGTGAATGACACAGTAAACATCCCGCTGATTGTATCATCAGCTCGTAAGGATTATCTAACCGAAGCAGGTGACGATATCAACGCGTCGAGGTTCGTGGATACAGACTCGTCTTTGGTCCTCAGCTCTGCCATACGATGTCGCGCTGAATAGCCGTTTTTATAAAGCCCTTTATGACATCTTACCATGGACTATTCTGAACGACTATATGGAACACCATTATGAGGTCAGCCCGCCGTCGGTATCTCACTTTTGCCAAATTAAATCTCATATCTTCCTGCTAACTTTCGAATTTCCGTCACCGACCGTTGAATTTCTCATCCGTACCACTGGAACAATGCCGTAATATCTCCTCATCTTATAAGCAGCATATCTTTTCTTAACTTCGATCACTCTGATCTATCGTACGTTTCAGGACGGTCTCAGTCACGAACTTTACGGTCTTCGTCCGCAGCACCGTTTCTTCCAACAAACATTCACCATCTGCGACTCTCTTCCGGACCTAGCGTGTAGTGGTGCCATCATCATAACGGTTCATTGCATTGTTCACTTCAACAAAATCATCTACTAATAACCTTTTAGGAAGGCGTCGACCATGTGGATGCAACTGGTGTGGTTGTGGATGGTGATCGGCATTTCCCGGCAGATGTAATCATTTTGGCAACCGGTTATAGCATACAGTTCCCATTCCTGTATCCAGAATCGTTGATTGACATTAAAGTGGGTCAATGAATCCTTTTTTTTTGAAATAAACTCGCTGAGATTCTTTTGCAGCAATATTTATCCATTTATACACCACCAAATGATTATCAACAACAGTGGTTGAGTATACACTGGCATTTAGTTGCCGCTGATAGATTAAAATTTATATTTCATCAGAAATTTTAATGTTAAACCAGAACTGCCAGATGGAATAAGTTTGTTGCCCAAATGAGAATGAGTGATCAAAAATAAAAGTTTTGAGTCGATTAGCTGAGTTCAGACTATGATAATTGTTTTTTCTCGAAACAATTTAATGTTGCGAGGAAAAAACGCATCATCTTGCTGTGAGCGTTAAGAGCCAGGATATTTGAAGGAAAATGACATGAATCTCTACAAACTGATATTTCCGCCTGAACATCCATCACTGGCCGTCATTGGTTTTGCACAACCACGAATGGGTGGAATCGCGCCAATCGCCGAAATGCAATCTCGCCTGGCAGCGGCCGTTTTTTCGGGCCAAGTGAAATTACCAGCGAAATCGGCTATGGTGAACGACATCAACATTCGTCGTTCTGCTCTCAGCAAGAGGTAATTATGAGAGTATGGGTAGGCGTAGACAAAATTGCTAAAATTTTGAAGTGATATGGATGTATTGATCTAATATGATTCGGAACTTCAAGAGAGTCGGTCTTGTAACCACAACCAACAAACGTTTTGTGCTTTTCATCTGATTTTTCAATAATTCACTAGAACTCATGAAGATCTGCGTTTTCCAATGACGTTTGTGTTTTTGTTGCTCTCACCTCGGAAGAACAGAATCGATCACAGTCAGATGATTGAGCAATGAACTAAGAAACTCGAGTCATAGTTTCACATTGGAATCAC